GGGGGGGGCCGCTTTTTTTTAAAATTTCTTTCCAAGGGACAAAAACCCCACCCCCGTGGTAAACCCCCCTGGGCCCCGGGGGGGGGGGGGGGGGGGGGGGTGAAAGCTGCTGTGCCACGACCAATAGGCGATTGGGTAGAGGCGCGGGTCACAGACGTACATTCCCCAAAGCAGCCTTGTTGTTGCTGTTGATTAGACTGCTCCGCGGTGGTGTCACATGATGACTACATGCATCGGATCCCGTTGCGCCGGCTACCAAAGAGGTTGTAGATGTCAAACGACGCGCATTCGAAAAGCTGTTGGTCAGATCTTTCTAAACCCCGCCCTTCTCGTAACCTCTGTAAAATAAATCGTTTTCGTTTTCCTTCGGTGTTGCGGAGTAATGGAGGTTTACTCGGCCCAAAAGGGGGTGTTCTGATGTTCTGGTGTTCACCATCAAGCAACGAGATGAAGCTGATACTGCTATAGTTTCGTAGTTTCGTGCGAACTTCAAAAATGTACATTGAAAGCTTACGGCTACAGACCGACAGACGGCATCGTCCATTCATCAAGCCGATACGATACGGCCACATGTAATCGAAATACAGGCCTCGCTGACTTCGGCGGCACGACTTGGACCAAATGCACAAGCAAGATCACGCCAACTCCGACAGCAGCTAGCTGTGGCACATAGTCTACTCTTGTTGCGGTAGTCTTGCTGCTGTGGCACACAGCAGTCTACTCTTCTTGCTTGTAAGATCGAGAGCTGTGTCTTTATATAAGCACCGGAAGAAGCCAACGCTTGTCTATGGCACACATCTCGTGGAAGAGATGCGGGTTGTCACGTCGTCACAGGACTACAGCAGCAGTACAGCAGCAGTACAGGTCAGTGACGTGTCGTCGGCTGGTTGATGAGCGGAGGACTATGCACAGCACAGTACTGCTGTAGCATACGAACAAGACACATCATTTCCTCGCTAATGCACCAACGCTGGTATTGTCGGGGGCAGCTGCTATTCCGGTACGCGAAACTCGAAACTCACCCATGGTAGGTCCCGATCATCACAACTTAAAGTGCTCCTCTTGCTGGCTGTGTTGCCCTCGCACTGCTCATCATGCCATGTGCGGAACATTTTCAACATTTTCGAAACGGGGGGTTCGCAATATCAAGCAACGGTTGCCCAAGGGAAGGTGTCGTGTACATACTGCGGATGATGGATCCAGATGATCGGTCCGCCTATACTGGTGTGGCAACCCAAACAACAGAGGGTACGGGAGTCTCCTCTTCGCCTCTGTTTGGACTCTTCGTGCTGGTTCTACAATACTGCTGTTGTTACAAGTAGAATGGAGTAACGCATGATGATGAACCGCGAGCACTATTATTATTATTTTTTTTTTTCTTAATATGACACAACGAAACCATCTCTATCATAGAAAAGAGTGAGACAGACTAGCAATGGATTCATAGCGTCAGAAAGTACCTGTATGTCTACGATTTCCCAGAGAGCATATAGGTAGTGTCGGCAAATACAAAGTGCCCCGAGTACAGAACGCGGCAGTAAGAACTTAGCTTAATTAAGAACTTGAGCCTCAATAATGCCGAAAGGTCATAAGAATAGGTGCGTGCTCAGTCAAGAGGCCACACTAAAACTCATACAGTCGCCATGATGGGTGTTGTTGCTGCTGTCTTCACATTATACCTTTACGACATACTTCTAAGAACTAAGATTTGAGCCTCGTCCAAAATAACGAGGTTTTCAAATCGAGGCGGCGTGGTGTTCTGCCATTACCTGGTAGGTCCATTTCAACAACACGAAAATTTTAAGCTCACGCATGAAAGTCAGGAATGCATCTGTTCATCACGCTTGGCTCCGCAACAAGTTGCTCTTATACATAAACGGACACCGCCGTGCCCACCCTTTCGCCCAACCAACTAAAAGACTTGATCAGAGTAGTAAGATTGCCCCCCTATCAATCCGATCAAAACCAACCAAGAGAGGCCAAAACAAACAGTCGTCAAGCCCAAACTAAATACGTATATCAAAACCCTAAGACCGTACTGACAACATTCATATTAAAACAAGTTCTGGGTATGCATACAAACCAAAAATTGAAGTTTCCACCAAAAACAAAAAATCAATTGCCAGAGAGGAGAGACAACGCATGCACGCGCCGGCGCAGCCAACAACGGCAAACAATTCGGAAGCAAGCACGCCAAACACATGAAACGAAAACAACAACAACAACAACAACAACGCTCCGAACCGCTCGCGTCGTCCACATGGAAAACCGCTGGCCTAGTGCTGTGACTGACATGCACCAAAACCCGCCGCCCTCCTTCCGTCTTACTTCCTACCATTTTGTGCCGTACTTCCTACTACTACGCGCTACGTACGTGCATGCTACTCCTACTCCTACTGTACCCCCGCATCCCCGTCGTCAGCGTCCTCGAAGGCGGCGAAACCCGCCCGCGCAGGGGCCCCGCCGAGCAGTCTCCCGAACACCCCCGGCGCTCCGGCGCCGGCAGCGGCCCCGCCCGCCGCCACCTCGTCTCCGCCCTGCCCCGTGCGGACGACCCTCTTCGAGCGGCCGCCACCTCCTGCGGAGGCATTGGACGAAGAGCGGAAGCTGCTGTTGCAGGGCGAGGCCTGCAGGAAGTCCTCCTCGCGCTCGACGGCTTCCCCCCCGTGACGCGCCGCCATGGACGAGGACATCCCCTTCGACATCTCGAACCCCCCGCCCCCCCCGCCGCCGCCGCCGCTGTCGACCTGGCTCATGGCAGACCGGTACACGCCTCCCCCCGTTCTCTTCCAGCGCTGCCGCACCGCCAGCGCCACCACGCCGAGGGCGAGCAAGGCCATCGTTCCCAGGCCCGCGACCACGCCAACGGTCACCACGCTCGTCTCCTCCCCCACCACCTCGCTGCTGCTTGAGCCCTCCGGCGCGCTCGCAATGCCTAACCCTGCACCATCGTCGTCACCGTCCGCAGGAACAGCCGCTGCTGGTGCCGCTGAGTCGAGGGCGGCATCTGCCTCGCAAGCTTCGCCGGTGCGGCTGCCCGTGGCCCTGGCTATCCCTACCGTTTGGGTCTGCACGTTGTACGCCGTGTAGAAGGAGCGCAGGAACGGATCGCCCAGGACCCTGGTTTGTTGTTGTTGTTATTGTTGTTGTTGTTGTTGTTGTTGTTGTTGTGGGCAGTGGTGGCAGTGATGTCGTCGTCGAGGAGCCGCCGTCCCGATGCCAGCAAAGGCACACGCAACAAACAGGGGAGGACAAGAGGGGGGCGAAAAACTCGTCAAGGCTTACAGCGACCACCACGCACTGCGGGGTGAGGAGCTATCCATTTGTTAAGAGAGGATACATATGCATACCATCAAAGAAAGACCACCGTTTTTTGTCCCGTGGTTACCGTCGAAAATGATACATACCATCAACGAAAGCACTACATTTATTGTGCCGTGGTTCGGCTACCATCGAAGCTTCTCGCGGTACTCACGAGCCCCCTTCCCCTTCGTCGGCAACCGTCTACCCTAAAGTAGCAAAGCGATCGCCCTATTGCTTGGAAAGGGTATGGTGGCTTTTTCAAGGTACGGCCGTGGCCTGTTCTTCACTCACCAGGTGTCAGTCATGTCTGCCCCGATCATGCCGAAGATACACATGGGGTCGAACATTGAGTCCGTGGTTGCGAAGTCAGTCAAGGGTTGGAGCAGCTCCGTTTCCTGTATCGCGTTTGACGTCATAGGAAGGGAATAGGCGGGAGCAGAGACACGAAGAGAGAAATAGGTGCAAACAGACAGATGGCACAAACAGGCAGGCAGGCAGGCAGGCCGGCGCGCGGGGAAAATAACCAAGAAGAAAAAAACAACCAAAAGAGGGGGGGCGGTCCCTGCGGCAAAGGAAACTTGCGTCATGGAAAAGCATGGCACACAAAATGCCGCCGCCGTCAAAAACAACCAAGGCGGGTTGGCGCGTGGTTGAGGCTACGCTGGGGTGGAAGCACCTGGCCATGCGAGGGTGGGCGCAAAAAGAAAAGATGTTGTAATTTACCGTGAGCGCGAAGTCGTCCCCGCCGAAGAAGAAGTTGATGTCGTCGAAGTCGGTGGCACACTCCACCAATATCAATTGCACGTCGCGAGGGTCATTCATGCATTCGATCTGTGGGCGTGGTGCCGTGGTGCGAGCGAGAGCAACGGGGGGGGCATCGTATGTAAGCGCCATTTTTCGATGTAACCACTGTTTTTCCTTGGCGTTCTCGGCGCGCCTACATGGTGAACATGCGTGCACCATGTATGCCGTCACGTGTTGCCTGAAATAGGACATCCCTCACGTCAGTAGGCAGGGGGGGGGGGGGGGGCCTCCCCCCCTTCTATAAACCCGGCGGGGGGATTTGGGTTT